ATCCCAACTGATCACTTCATCCCAAGATGTAGTTTTCATACTAACTTCAAATTACACCGGAAAGGAATTATTAGAAGAACGCTCCACTATTAAAGCTAACTTAGTCTGGTTTATCTACTGCTCAAAGATAGACACAAGGGTCAGCGCCTGAATATGTGAAGTTAAGGAAAGGGTTCGAAGTTCCACTTAGTCCAGGAACGCATAACACAGTACTCCTGGTGAATTCGAGGCTATTGAACACCGTGCAACGAGGTTGATAAGGAGGAACGTTAAAAAGCAATGACGCTTGACAGTTAAGGAAAATTAAAGGTAACCAGTTCTTACCAGATCTTACAATTTCAGACTGTGACTAAAAAAAAAGTCTAAAAAATACTGACCTTAGATATCAGGGCATGAGGGACATTGAGGCAACGAGAAGATGCATGTATTAGCCAGGGCATGCTTATCCACAGCCCTACAAGGACTTGAATACTCTCGAGGACTGCGTTAGTAAGATTGTCATTCAGAGCGAGAGATGTCAACAGTGGAGATAAACCCTTAGGCAGAGGCAAATCCATAAGTCTTAAAAGGACCGTCAAACGTTAACTAGGCAGACCTACTAAACTAAAGTTCGACTAGAGAGAACTGATGATAGGACATTCAGGTTCATGAAACATTGTCTTGGAGGAAGATATAGGTTCTACAAAGACGCAAAGAAGACAGCAGTGCATGTACTGTGCGAGTGTGAGAACCTAATAAAAGTGCAATAATTTCTTCCCTAGAAGTCCACAATAGACTTATGGAAAATGATGATTTATTCAGTCATTCAACCACAGTCTGCAATCTTGTCATATATTTGACCAGGCAGTTATATACTTGAGGCATTTTATTCAAATCAACTGAATTTGATTTAAATGTTTATATTCATATAAACTTGACACTAAAGACTAAAAAGGAGGAATTTGTTTGATGAATATATTAATTTGTTTCATTTTGACCTAGAGAATTTTCCATTAAGCTCTGTCTTATTCTGATTAGAATAATTAACATAATTAAACAGGAAATAAGTTTTTTTTCTTTAATGCCCTCTATTTCCTCTGAATTTAGCAAAAATAAAATCTGTAGATGTTCAACATCATAGACTTCTTGATGTTTCGTGAGATACATCACTCTCTTCTTCAGAAGAAACTGGAGATTAAGTCCTGTACGGTTTATAGTCCATAGCCCGTGTTATTTCAGTCCTTGATTTTTGTAGAGGAGTCGTTTCCAAATTCAGCAACGGCAGCAATTCAAACAAGGACAGTGAATAATTTTCTTTCACGACGAANCTTCTTCAGAAGAAACTGGAGATTAAGTCCTGTACGGTTTATAGTCCATAGCCCGTGTTATTTCAGTCCTTGATTTTTGTAGAGGAGTCGTTTCCAAATTCAGCAACGGCAGCAATTCAAACAAGGACAGTGAATAATTTTCTTTCACGACGAAACTGATGTCTAGATTTATTTGGTTACTGTGGTTCAGGAATCATAGCTTGTTATATTCATGGGGCACGCAATGTTGCCAACCGCATATCACTAAATATCTCCATTAGCGCGTACCTAATTCAAAAGGTTCGGATATTTTCTGAACAGACCTCGTATCTGAACAAATACTCCAATTTCAAAAGCATTTACTGCGTTCAGGAATTGTTTTGTCAAAACTGCTCCTTCATTTTTTTCATAAAACAGATGCCTAAGTGGTCCTATACAGTACATCACATTGAGAATTATGATAAGAAAAAGTAGAATTAATGAGCTGGAGCAATCCTGAAATTTTGCAGTTGGTCTTTTACATGGTAAACTAACCATTATACGACTTATTAAATCACACTGTATCATTTTTCAAATGTTACAATAAGTACTAAGATCCTGGAATGTATTATCGTGTGTTTTAAAACCCATACTAATTTTAGTAATTCTAGTAATGGCATCGCACATTGGTAAATTATTGAAACAAATCATAAATTCAATGCGTTTATTCTTATTATTCAAGAGTGCAATTTATATTCAATATAAATTGTGTTCTCTTAAATCAAACAGTCCATATTTAATAAATATACTTATTCATTAATAATCCACGGAATAGGTATTTAATAATTTTTTTATATTTGACGTTTTCGCCGTTTTATTATTTTGAAAGTAATAGTATATACATACTTGTAAAGAATTTAATATGCGAAATTACAGGTTGTCGTTACATTTATTACATAAATAAATTTATTAGTATGGGAGGGTATTCGGAACAGACTAATATTAATATTTTTTAATATGTGTCAAATTAAATTATATTTTTGTGCTGCCAATAAAAGGACAATAAATTATCCTGCGCGCTTGCTATATTCGCCCAATCGTAGCAGATATAATCAAGTTTATTTGAGTACATTTATAATTCCGTGTCGTGTTCATCCAATAGAAAATATTGAGAACTTATTGCTATTAGGTATTGTTAGATAGGTACCAGGCTTATGTCTTTTTCGATAAAATTTAAAGGTGGATTAATAAATATTAAAATATTGTGTAATTTGGCATGACTTTTCCTTCAGTTCTTTTAAGGAATTGAATTAAAGAAGTATTTTTTAAATTTTATTCTGTTTTCTAGATGTCAAAATAATACTTTATTTAACTCCAACGAAGTCTTTTTAACTCTAAAGCGAATAGTCTTTCATGAAGCTGTTACTTAAGTACTAATTTAATTACTTCAATAACATGACTACTTACTAAAAATAAAAATTTTCAAAACTTTTTCAAATTAAAAAAAATTTTTCGACATTTGAAATATTCAATAAAATTGTAAAATAGGACGCAAAAAAATTTAAAAAATTTTGAAAAATTTGATTTTTTTCAAAATTGAATTATTTTTTTCAAAATTTTGATTTTTGTTTCGATATTTGGTGAGTATTTTGTTCGAAATTGTGAGAATACCTAATAACGCAAAAACATTTGTTTCATCTTAATCATTAATTGATGTTTAAGGAGCAATAATAAACCTGCTACTTTAATTTTTTATAAAACAGACGATTCAGGAAAGAAAAACGGTTATACCAATTAATTTCAAAATGTGCAAGCCTCATGGGCATGTATTGAGCTAAAAAAAACTACAAACATTGGTACTTTTCGCAATATTTGCAAAGTAATGGTTGATTTTCCAAAACAAAAAATTAAAATATTAAAATGGCGATTATAGTAATATATCCAACTATCGTGCTATTACATTTATATGTAATTTTAGCAAAATATTAGAAATCATTTTACATAATCATTTATATGAGCACGTTAAACAAATTATAGATATTAATCAGCATGTTTTTATGAGAGGTAGATCGACTACAACAAATCTTGTGTGCATTACAGATTATATCTCTAGATCTTTGGACAATCACGGTCAAGTCAACGTTATATATATAGATTTTTCTAAAACGTTCAACAGGTTAGGTTATAGTATTCTGTTGGAAAGGTTAGACGTATGTGATGTCTCTACGAGACTGTTGAATTTGTTTAAATCGTACTTGATTCGGAGGATACAGTATGTACAATATAGCGGATTTAAATCTGAACTCATAAATGTATTGTCTGGAGTTCCCCAAGGTTCTGTTTTAGGACCCCTAATGTTCAATATTGTTTTGAATGATATTAATAAATATTGTTATTTTCTTACTTTACGCTGATGATATGAAAATATTTGTTAAGATTGATACCTTAAATGATTGTCAGAACTTACGAAATGCTTTAACATCGGTGAATACATGGTGTACAGAAAACAGACTTCCCCTTAACATAAGTAAATGTAACATAATGTCCTTCTCTAGAATGACTTGTCCTGTGACCTACGATTATAGGATTAACAATCACTCTCTTACTCGTCCCAATTATATAAAGGATTTGGCAGTAAATACGCAATATATCTTCATCAACTTATAGAAGCCTTGGGTTTGTGATCAGAAATTGTAGAGATTTTGCTGATCCTTCTACAATAGTAAAACTTCTACAAGTAAATTTATATAATTGTTTTGTAATATTTCGCTTGGAGTATGCTTTAATGGTTCGGTATCCTCAGTAAGCAGTCTATAAAAATAGCTTAGAAAACATTCAAAGAAAATTCTTAAAATACATGCACTTCAGAACACTAGGAATGTATCCCAACATTGGATTTTCTCACAATATTCTTTTGGACATGTTTAACTGTAAGTCCTTAGAGACATATTGAGATAAGCATTCTGTTGTTTTTTCGTACTTGGCTTTTGTTTCTTTTGTTATTCATTTTATGTTGTGTCTTTATGGGAATTTTTCATTTTAGCTTGTGTATATGTATAATTGTATCGTATTTTATTCTATTTTACTACATCATAGGACTATTTTACACTACTGTTACTTTAATTAATGTAAAATACTTTATTAAGTTTTATTACTTTTGAATTTATTTATAGTTTTTTTCTTTCGAATTGTTAAAATAATTGTTACTGTCATTTTTCTGTTGAATGGTGTATCAAGTAAATAAACAAATAAATAAAATAAAAACAGAAAAAGTAATTTTTTGCACTTTTTCAAATTAATGGTGAGTATATATAAAAAATTCTCAAACATACCAAAAGGCCATTGAAGAGAATTGATTCGGGTTTCAAAAACCCATCTTCCGTTCGCTGTACAATCATTAGTTCAGGAGATATTGATGACCAAAAAAAAAGGTGACTTTTCACTCAAAAGCCGATATTTCAATGAGAAATAGTCGTGTGGAAAATAAAAAAATAAAAAAAATTGAAGCTGATGAATCAGGCTAAATACCCCTGTTATTGATTAAGCCAGAAAAAATTTCTTGACCCCATGGGCAGTTTTGGAGAGTAATGTCGCTTGTACACAAAACTGTCTTTTTTTTTGTTCACTGTACAACTTTTTTATAGACCATAAATTCCTTTTTCGATTTTCCTGATTAAAACTCTGTACGAGTTTCCATCGACTTTTCTCGTACATTAACCGGGAATATTATCGCAGGTATGGAGACATCCATGGCGGCGGTCCTACCACAAGCGGAGGAAAGCTCAGTGGGAGACGGACCCCAACTACTGCCAGCTGGTGAGGGAGATTCCGCCTTACGACAAGGGACGCAGACTTTACGATCTCATGGACATGTCTGTGTTCGATTTTCTCATGGGGAACATGGATAGGCATCACTACGAGACGTTTAGGTAAGTTTGAATTTAGAGTTGCTTACTGCATAAGCGCCAAAACTTCTATACTGCTGCACATGGGTGCTCAAATAAATAACAGTAGAAATAGGGCGGTACCTTCGCATATAAAAAGTGCGACACAGGTACCTAATATATTTTTAATTTTTGTGTCTAATTTACGATTTAAACCCAAATATTTCATTGCATTTGTTATAAATTACAAGCAAATCATTTATCTAAATGCTGAAAATTATTTTTTTCCACGGTCGGGAGTAGAAATCAGTTTCTATGACATCAAAATTAAAACAGAATTAAAACAGTCGATTATTCCCAAGGGAGTATAATGCTCCCAAGGGAAATTATTTATTGACATTTAAATTAAATGTTACATTTGTACAATTTTCAAAATTAATATTAGAAGGAATATTACTTTCGCTTACATTTACAGTTTTTGTGATTGCGCTAGTAGTGGTACCTACTAAAACCTGATTAGCAATTTTGGTCTTATTTTCAATGGAGTTCTCGACATAACCCTCAGCGACTGTCGTTGATTTCCAACCAGCATGACGCTTTATTGTCGTGATATCCACACCAGCATCTGCCAGTAATGTCGCTGAAGATCTTCGTAAGCAGTGACCAGTATAACATGCAGCATCAGGTAATTTTAAATACGAAGCTACTACACTCGGAATTTTTCCCATGGTATTCTTGCCAACTGGCTGCGAACTACATTTTCCTGCTTTGTAGTACAAAAAAAGGCGCTTATGCTTGACGTGGGGAGGACGAAGGGACAGGTATTTTCGAAACAATTCAAGCATATTTCCCACATCGGTAACCACAAAGGTTCGTGGAATCTTTGTCTTAGTGTTTGGAATTTTTACAATCAAGGAAGAGCCTACATCCTCAATATCATCTACAGTTAAATTGACTAGTTCATCAGTTCGACAAGCTCCGGCAATCCCCAGAATTAATCCAACCTATAAAAAATCAAAATACTTAATAATTGAAATACCTAACAACAAAAGTAATCTTACCTTAATCATTAAGAATTCTTTGTCATCTGCACTTGATAGAAAACGGTCGATTTCACCCTTTGTCAATATTTTCGATTTTTTCGCTTGATATCCGTCACCGGTTCTTTTCAAAAATGCGATCAGCTTGGGGAATTTGCTTATATCTATGTTGTCGTAAATTATCAAGCATGACTTAACCATAGAATATTGCGCCCATAATGTGGAAGACTTGTAATTCTTTGCATTTTCACTGAAGTATGCCAACAAAACATTCTCGCTGTATACTTGAACATTTTTCTCGGCGCACCACTTTTTGAACCGATTGTAGGCTATATCGTATAAAGATCTTGACTTCGTAGGCAGCAAATTGCTTATTGCAATATTTGCAGCCTCCACAATCTCTTCCGACTCACAATTATTCATTGTGCACTAAACAAACTTTAAACTAAACCAAACTAGCACCTTAATTTGACAATTCTTTTTGTTTGTTTATTTTGTAGTTATGACAATAACTCAACGGCTACTAAATAAATGCTCAAATCCGAATACAATAATTCTGGTGCTACTTACTTCATAATGACAAAATATGTGTTTCTAAGTTAATGAGACCGTGGAAAAAATAGTATATACCATTCGGGAGAGATGCTATTTTGTCCTCGGTGCATTGTACCCCCCGGGCTTCAAATTGCACCTCTGCCAAAATAACGCATTTATCTCCCTTATAGTATAATGTACTATTTTTACTACGATTATCCGATGAATTACAAAAAATTAAATAGGTAAATGAATGACGTCTAATTAACTTTACTATAATCAAGTCTACGTAACAATTAAGTCTAATAATAGTTAAATTTGAATCATATTAGAGATGACTTTTATTTGTTCCTATATGCATAATAAAGTAAAAAGACAGATTCAGCACATCAAAATACATAAGAAATCCACTTGATCAAGTTCAGAACAAATTTTTTCGAATTTTTTTGTTCTTACTAACGTAAGAAGGTTAGAGGAGGCGTTTTTTCACAATTTTTTGCCATTTACTCAAAATTTTGGGGGTGTTTGAGCCAAACGGACTTTGGATTCTGATTCACCACGTCAAAATGCGTAGTTATTTGGTCAAATCAAAGGTACAGACTAATTTTTTTTTATTTTGTGTGCTACACCGGCACATCATAGAAAATTAAACTCACTATCTACGGCCACAACTAGGTACTCATCTTTTTTATGTGAATGCGATTCCAGAGGTTTTCAACAAGTATCAGCTCTTGATTATTATTCATTTTAAGCAACGATTCTTATTGTTGAAAATAGGCATTATTAATACCTACGTTCTTCTTGCCATTAAAAAGTCTTCTCTGAATTTGCGGACGTCCTGTATTTAAAATTATTCTTTGATTCTCAAGCCTAAACATTACTTGATTTTCATTTCTCTCTTGATCGTGTATCTATTTAGAAAACACGTTCGTTTATATGCATTTGCTGGTTTTAGGTGCATCTTTTGCACAGCTTGCAATATTTAATAAAATATACCAAAACACCACGAATATTCTGTGTTAATTGTCTCTAAAGTATTAGATCAATACTAGGCAAAATATTTGCAAAGTTAATTAAAACCTTCTCAAACTTGTTCATTGTTTCGTGAAACAAAATTTATCTAAGTTTGGACTGTATACAGGGTGTTTCATAATTGCATGTCAATATTGAAGGGTGTTAATCTGTGCGTGATTTTAAGACAAAAAGTTCATATAAACATAGGTCCGTTTTCGCTTTATTTTTGATATACAGGGTGATGAATATCTGTTTGTAAAATTGTTTTTTTTTAATAACTCCGAAACTAAATTAGATAGTTTTATAAAACTTAGTATGTGTAAACTAGGTGCAGAGACACGTCTTTTGCATAATAAACGAATTTTCATTTTTAACCAGTGGCGTCCCAATTAACTTCAACCTCATTATTTTGAATGAAAAAAATGATACGCCACTGCATTTTTGAAAAACAAAAATTATTGTATAAATGGTGCTTTATTTTGTAATAAAAAAGATCTCTTGAGTTTTTTTCTTATCTTGCACTGTTTTTTAGTAAAAAAATAAAGAACAACATACTAACCCACATTGAGCCAAACAGAAAGCATGATATAAAGATTACCTAGTAGGCTGTGGTTGTTGATTACTGTTGTGATTTATTAATTTTGACAGTTCAGTTCATTCAACTCAATTTTGATACTTAAAATACCTGTACAGTGTTATTTGATAATGGTTGAGTTTACTAATCAAGAGTTGGCAGACATTCATTACATGTATGGCTTGGCTGATGGCAGAGCGCCAGAGGCTAAACGATTATATCAAGAGCGTTTCCCGAATAGAGTCACACCAGATAGACGAACATTCTCAAACATACATAGAACGTTGGCTGAAACAGGTACTTTTAAGCCAAATAATCAATTAAAAGGTGCCCATCGGACTACTAGAACTCCAGAAGTTGAAGAAGCAGTTTTAAATTCAATTGATGAAAATCCTAATATTAGCACTAGACAAATTGGAAATAACTTGAATATCTCGCACATTCTAGTTTGGAGAATTCTTCACGATTTTCTGTTATACCCGTATCATATTCAACGGGTCCAAGCCTTACTTCCTCGAGATTTTCCTTTGCGAATCAACTTTTGTCAATGGTTTTTGGAGAAAATTGCGCAAAATCCCTTGTTTGACTGTGAAATAATGTTTACAGACGAAGCTAACTTCTCTAGAAACGCTATAAGAAATTTCCATAACAATCATGTTTGGGCCGAAGAAAACCCGCATGCAATTGTGAACTTTAACAATCAAGAACAATTTTCCGTGAATGTTTGGGTTGGAATTGTTGAAAATCACTTAATTGGACCTTTTTTTCTGCCACAAAGGCTAGACGGCCGTACATATCGTCGGTTTCTAGAGGAGGATTTGCCCGTATTACTTGAAGAAGTGCCACTTTTAACTAGAAATAGAATGTGGTTCATGCATGATGGTGCACCAGCTCATTTCCATCGAGAAGCAAGAGAATATTTAAATCGCACATTTCATGACCGATGGGTAGGCCGTGGTGGACCCCAACAATGGCCCCCCAGGTCCCCAGATTTGAATAGTGCGGACTTCTTCTTATGGGGGCATCTGAAAACTCTGGTTTACAACACTCCGGTTAACACTGTAGAAGACCTGAGGAATCGCATAAGAGCTTCCTGTGATGTAATAAGGGACACTGACAACATTTTTCAAAGAGTCCGCACTAATATGAGAAGAAGAGCTGAAGCATGTATCTTTGCAGGTGGAGGGCATTTTCAACAACTGATGTAATTGTTTGTTTTTTTCGTTTCACAAAATTGTTATTTGTTGCTCGTCAATCGTAATTATTAATAATATTATACAATAATGTGTATAAGTTATCTAGTAAAAGAATTATTTCCATAAAATGTGTAAAAAGTACTTCATTCCACGTACAGATAATTATTGTTGTTCTTTATTTTTTTAATAAAAAACAGTGCAAGATAAGAAAAAAACTCAAGAGATCTTTTTTATTACAAAATAAAGCACCATTTATACAATAATATTTGTTTTTCAAAAATGCAGTGGCGTATCACTTTTTTCATTCAAAATAATGAGGTTGAAGTTAATTGGGACGCCACTGGTTAAAAATGAAAATTCGTTTATTATGCAAAATACGTGTCTCTGCACCTAGTTTACACATACTAAGTTTTATAAAACTATCTAATTTAGTTTCGGAGTTATTAAAAAAAACAATTTTACAAACAGATATTCATCACCCTGTATATCAAAAATAAAGCGAAAACGGACCTAGGTTTATATGAACTTTTTGTCTTAAAATCACACACAGATTAACACCCTTCAATATTGACATCCAATTATGAAACACCCTGTATACAAGATGTAAGAACTTTGACTGCCATTACTTCAGCATGAGATAGAAAAATAATTTAGTTACTTACCAAAAAGCAAAATTCAGCAATTTTTAAAC